CCAGTCCTGGGGCTGATAAAAACAATTCATTTAGTTTACGATGTCATTTCCGTCAAAAGATGATTTCAAAAACCGTGCTGGCAACTACATTTACCACAAATCTCGAAGAGCCTATTGCAAAGATGTCACCAGGATTAATTATCTTAGTTTCGTATTGGAGAGGAAGAAACTTCGGGCGAAATACTCACCTGATCCCTGACTCTTATTATTTTCAAATATTATCGATAAATTTTGCGATACAAGTACAAATATAATGTGTTTAGTTTTAAAAGTCGAGCGCGGTCCATTAAGAAAGTAAGTAGAATTAACACAAAAAATTCCAGAAAGGGAATTTATCTCAACATACTATTAAAAAAAAAAATTTAAATTTTAACATGAAAATCTATAAAGGATCCGTTAGACTGTCTAGTAATCAGCGAGGAGAATGATTTGTGATGTATATATATATATATATATATATATATATATATATATATAGATTTCATCAAAATGTATAGTGCGCAGTTTCAACTCTAAAAAGAAAACAAGTCTCTCCTATGGTAATTAATGATTGATTGAAGTTTGTTAATTCTTTGTCAGTGTAGAGGTCAAATCGACAAGACTGATAATTGAGGAAAACATACAGTTACTTTTTTTTTTTTTTTTTTTGCTGTTTCGAAAAGAATTAAGAATAGTGTGGCTTGCGTTGCAAAACACCTAGTGGCAGATCCTAACCTGGAGCTAAGGGGGGGGCTCGGTTTTTGTCGCTTGCCCTGCCGGCTTTTCTTCCGTCTGCGGTTCTTTTTTTTTTTTACCCAAAGTAAGGGGCGGGGGGGCGGGCCCCACGGGCCCCTCCCCGAGATCCGCCACTAATACCCACGAGAGAAGTTTCAAAAATAAAAATCCTCAAGATATTTTTTTGAATGAACGATTTTTATGCATTTAGGTGGATTGACTTCCAGTGTGCTCGACACAAAACACTTGTACTTTGATGGAGCAGACAATGATATATTCGAATTATGTGAATCATGGAATTTATTCGAGAAGCTCATCAACAAGCAGCCATAAAGTCATCCGATACTTCAGCGAAAGATCTGGAAGACACGATCATTTTATAACATAATTATTTAAGGTATTCAACTTGATATTTCAGGTTTTGGAGATATGACCGAACAAAAAAATTAATCTTCAAGCGTCAAATTGGACTTTGAATTTATAAATGATGAAAACAACATACCACCAAAGCAAATATGAAAGAGAAGGAGCCAGAGGAGTGGGTCTGAAATAGTAATTGATTTGCATATGGATATTGCGAGAGAGTTAAAAATACGGAGAGTCACTTGAATTGTATTTGGAATATGCCATTTGACGGAAAGCAGTAAATTTTTGGATTTTTTTTTGCTTACTAAGGGCAATCTACACAGATTTCCTCCAAAAATTTAATGCTTCCGCAAAATACTTATGCTATTTTAAGGTTTGTGCTTATCGGCTGAAACACGTCTTGTTTACCTGGCAAAAAATGCCCGTCAACTTCGATAATAAATACTTCCCGAATAAAGCTGCAACGATCACGTAGTCCTACGTACAAACAAATCGATTCTTTTTACGAACTTCAGTTTCTTGGTTTTCTGGTCTTTTCGTCCTCCCACAGATCGAAATGGAAGTAGTCTCAGGGCCAGAAACAAAGATATTAACTGAAAAGAGAAAACGCGAATATGCTTTTAAATTGGTATCAACAAGTCCAATATACATGTACTTAAAAGCTGTATTTTTATAAATATTTGTCAGCACGTTTTGATTTGTTTTGCCTCTTAAGAATTTATGATCCCATCTTTTCTTCCGAAGTATAGTCATTTTTAGAGATAAATCCGAAGATGGTGAATTTTTTACTAAGATCGAAATTGACGCAGACAGAAATGTATGTTAGCACTTATGAAGATAATAATGAAAATCTTCTAATCATGTTTTACAACTCGATGAGGAATTCAACGGAAATTGAAGTAAATTACAGGTTTTCGTTTAAATAATTCCTATTATTGCGTTTCCTCCTTCAAATAAACTATATAAAGCAAATATAATTTGCCCGCACTAATGGTGCGGAATGTATCAGAGTATGTCTTGACCATGAGACGAAGTCTGTTGGTGACTCAGATCGAAATAGAACCTACTGGGTAAATATAGTTGAATGTCACCAAAATTAATTATTCAAAACGAGATAAAATTATAGTTTTGATGAGGGACACGAACTATTGTAGAAACAACAATGAAATCAGTGCTGGAGAAATCTTCCGATTAAAACTTTATAAATTTTGAATAACCACATGGTGGAATTTTCGTTATTATTTTCACTATTTTTTTGTTTCTATGCGTGACAAAAATATGATATTGCCCTTTAGAAAGTACGTGACGCTTTTATGCCAAAATATTTGCTTTTCTAGAGGGTCTCTCACTCTTATATTGGCAAGTAACACGTAACCTCTAATTCAGACTGTTCCAGCATTTCAAACACGACCACTATAAATTACAACTGGGCGACTTGAAGAGCATTAAGAAAACAAAACATTGTCTGAGAAACACAAAATTAGTATCTTCACACCAGTACGAAAACAGCAAATCCCACTGTTTTTAAACGTACTCAACAAAGCGATGGAAAAGCCAAGCCGTTTATTGCATAGAAGCAAACGCTGTCTACAGCCTCTGGCTACGATATCCGAAGACATCGGAGAGACCCGAAAAAGCAGAAGACGAGAGAATGAAATTTGCCAAGATTGCGCAGACACAAGGGTGAAGGAGTACAATGAACTTTTGTACGAGAGCACTCACTGTCTTCACATCAAAACTTTACCAAAAGATACACAATTACAAACTGAACTTCGCACTGAACTGAACTTGAGAGAGTCAAGGCTAGTTGTTTCCAAGAATGGACATTCGAAGGACATAAATTTTGCTAAAAATCTTTTTCCGGAGTTCTTTCCCAGAGACCTAGAACAAGGATATAATTCTCACAGTGGCTTATGGGCAGCAAAACTGACAATGGAGGAAGTATTTTCAGGACGGATTCGCAGTGCTCGTGTTTCAGAGAAACAAGGACTTAATCAGGAAGCAAGCTTTGAATATTGGAAACAATATCAATTATCATTCTAACAATCTAAACTTAATCGATCATCTTTGAGAAATACGTGTTGACTGCGTTTGATAGTTATTAGCAATCGGTGAAAAAAAATTCGAATGGATCAGTAAATTGGATTTATGCACACGTACCCCTCATAAACGTTGTAATTTATCACCTGTTTCCATTCAAGTGAATAGAGCGGCAGACTAGATATGAGATTGTCTAGCCAAATGTGAGATGTATTAACTACCCCAAAATATGGAAAAATTAATTTGTTAGACTTTATACGTAAAAGCTAGTGTTTTTATTTTCAAAACATTGCGTATTAAACGAATAAAAAACCAATGATGTTCCTCTGTATTTCTTCAGTCCTCCCCAGTCAATTTTCATATTCAGGAAAGGTCTGTCACGAGGGTAGTTAATAGTGGTGCATTCTATTGGCTGAGCGACGTCGAAGAAACCTCATTAACAACGAATTGCCGGAAGCTTTCTTGATAAGATGTCCGACTCTTTACCCAGCAGCTTATTCTAATCACAAAATCACAAGTTTAGAGTCTGCACAAAATTGAAAATTTATTTATCGTGCGCTTAATAACGAGTTTCTTACTTAGATTAAGTTCTTCACTATCTTGCGCGAGAAATTGACGATTTGATAATGCACGATGACAAATATTGCGGCATATTCAAAGAGCGAATTAAATATCTGATGTAGGCCAAATGAACTCAGGTCTAATTCGTGAGAGTTAAAAAAACACTGCGGCCTCATCACACACTGTAAAATCGGATAAACGATGAAAAAGAAGTTAAATCCTCCGTGCGATATTTTCCACAATGACATTTCTTCTTGAGCTGATTTCAGTCACAAGTCTTCGAACAACACACGTGTTATTCGTTTTAGAATTCGACAATAGTTCATTTAGTATCTCGCCTTTTAAAATATCACGTTTCGTTTGAAAAGTTATTGCATATATCTACATACAAATGTTCAATGTTTCACACACGAGCGCCACTGAATTTTATTAGATCTGCGTTTTTATCATTGTTTACTTCTTCTCACTCCTGATTTAATCAATAAGAGGCTCCTATGTTTGTCTTATATGAGCGAAAGATGGATTCGGGTTTGATGAAAAGGAACTAAAAATATTAAATATATTCACCTGCTGAAAAAGATATGACAATTACAAGTTGGATTCATTTTCACAAGAAAGAAAAATTGTGTTCTCCTCACTCCACATATTCAACTTTTGGTTTTTAAATTTAAAGTTAAATAAATTGAAATCTTTTTCAAATAATTCTTTTGTCAAGGAACAAAGCAGAATATTATAATTACTTTCCAACGCACGTAAAGATGTGTCTGCACGGGTCATCAGCTAAACAAACAATTAACGCGCCGGTATTGTATTATACTGCAGTCAACTCCTTTTATGGTAAAATGAAAAATTTAGTACCGGGCTAAGCCAGCTAGAGTAAAAAAAAAACGCATTTATTTATAAAACAAACACGACTGCTTTTGAAGTTGCTGTCTGAACAGAAGAAAAATGAATGACCTTCCTTTTGCTAGAAAGGGCTAAGTCCGCTTGAGTGAAAGTTATGTAACAAACACGAATGCTTTTGAAGTTGCAGTCTAAATGGAAGGAAAATAAATGACCTTCCTTTTGCTGGAAAGGTCGTTAAACCTGACAACAATGGCCATGTCGGAAAGGACAGATGTTGTTTCCCAGCAGGCCATTCAACGAACTTGCATACGTAGAAGCAGTTAAAAAGACTAGAACCTCCTAGAATAGTCGTTTTCGAAGGTTTCCATCGAATTTCAAGAACACGAATCCGAAGCATAAAATTTAATTCCTTAATAATAACACAAAAATGATATTCTTCGACATCCAAAGTGATGCAAACGATTTGGCAAAACTCTGGGAGCATTACTCTTCACGTTCAGATGAGTGTGATGGATGTAAGAAGTGCAACGTGACCACGCTGACGTAACAACATGACGACGAACGAAGCCATGCTTGTTGATATAACTGTGCACCAAACATCAAGGTTCAGTTCAAGGCGACTTAGGAATTTCATTTTGGTGCCGGATACATTCTTGATCTATAGTTGTAGTATTTGCAGGGTGCATTGTCGTAAAGCGAGCATAAAAACAGGAATTGCACCAAAGCAAACACAGATCGGGTTTGAAGGCCTTGAATAAATTCCCACCGCTTAGCTAAGAGGAGCGATGAACCAAGCACCCGAGAATGAGTGCAGCCAAGGAGTATGCAAGGTGGCTAGAAGACCTGCTTCTCTACCGAGTCCATTCATACATACAAGGATGGAGATCAATCCAGCAGATTTGACGGCTGATCTTCAAGGAGTACAAGCTGCAGGGTCTACGTTTGGCAACGAATCACGTCTAAAGTATGGCAGGCTCCTGATCCCAGGAGAGTGCGACAAAGAGGATCACAATGGAGCAGCAGAGAAAAGTTACCAGCGTAAAAGCTTGCTGAAGAGAAGAAGACATAGTGAGCCTCTTCACTCTGCCCATGCAGAAGCACAGCTCAATTCCACAGGAAGTTCTGCTGATTCTTCTGGATCAAGCCTGTTGTTGGAAAACCACAACACGAGAAACTTCCGCAAAAAAGATATTACAGCAGCTAAGGCATTTTTTCCCGACTTTTTCCCTCAACAACCCTTACGAGACAGGTACGATTGCTTACATTCGCATCCAACCTTGGAACAGATTTTTTCAGGTCAGATTAAGTCTTAACGATCTTGAGTACTAAGACACTAATGAAAAACTGTTCTGATTGGTGGTTTTTACAATCTAGATACTTTCAGACGTTTCCTAGAAACGATAAAGCTCTGAATGTGTAGAAAAACAAAGCAAATTAAAATTTGTATAGCCTTACTTGAATTTAATATTTCAAGGATCTAATCACCAAGTGAACTTAGAACAGCATCCGTGCAATAAATATAACAGTTTATGCGAGATGTACACGTGACTCAGTGAAATCATCAGTTTATTATAAAGTTTATGGTGTTGATTAAAACTAGACCAAAAAATATTGAAAGGGAGAGTGGAGAGATATATGGTAGAAAGCTGAAGCTTCCTTTCCCTGAAACTACCTGTTTCTTTGACATTGTACTGGTATATAAAATTCTAGTATAAGTAAATCTTAAACGAGAGTCGCAACTAAGCCGAGAGTAAATTATTTCAGTACCCAGTGATTAGTTCAAAAACTCGGGTCGTCCTCTCAGCCAATCATATGCAACTTAAACTAATCGTGTTTTCCCGTACTTCGAACAGCTACTAGTTTTCAGCATTATCTCTTTGAGAGATTTCCCATTGTTTGGATGGGCTGTTTGTACCCTTCACTTTAAGTCTGGTTTATTCGGCGCTTTACATATTGGCTTGCTATTTTCGTTCGACTCATCGTTCTTTTTATACCTGAATTGAATTTTGCTTGGGACATCGAGACGATTTTTTCTTTAATTTTCCGGGAAGTTCACCATTAGTTTTCGACCTTGTGAATTTGATCCAGTTTTTTTGCCTTCTGTTTAGATTCTTACCTGACACACTGATCGACATAAAGGCTTAAACAAATCACTTCTTTTTCCCTTCCCGTGCCACCGAGCAAAGCAAAAACACCTCATGGGGAAACTTTGTTCCTTCTGCCCCTATATACCAGCATCCTATGAGCCCACACACATTAGGAAATAGTGAAGCGCATAGTGTTATTCCGAAAATGTGATGAAGATGAAAAATGTGATGAAGATGAAAAAACCAGGCGCTACTTCACGAAAAAAATTAATTTATCTGTCATTTTTAATTTAGACGGCAAGTAACAAATATCGGTTATCGATGAGAATCTAAAATTATGCTTAATACTTTACTGACAGTAACTTGGAGGCTTAGCGACCCCCCTCCCCCCCTCCCCCCCTTCTGTTTGCCTCATCTGATTTTCATTTGTCTTCCTCTATTAAACATTTGATAAAGGGTTGCTTTGCGCAGTGCAGATTATAAGCTTAAAACCTTCCGTCGTTCATTCAACATAATAAATCAGATCTGCAGCAATTAAAATGATAAATGAGTCAAAGAGTTTAGCTCGACTGATTGTTTTCGAAAAGCAGACGGAAAGGCATGAATGAAATATCAGGTATTTACGAGTGCCATCTCGTATTTCTCATAAACTCTTTTTTCATCACCTCAACTACACTTTTCACCACCTCAACTTTCCGGCACGGCTTTAATTTTCGGGCACGACATTAAATTTCTAACACGACATAAATTTTCCGGCACGACTTTTTCTGGCTAGACATTTAACTTTTTCCACCTGAAGACTCAACACAAGAATCAAGGCGGCAGGTCACCGCCGGTCGATCGCAATGCACTTACTGTAACACTGTTTGGTAAAAGCTAAGAATAAATTTGCAACTGGGCAAAGCTAAATTGGATAAGTTTACTCGATCGAATTTTGCTTAGTGTGCTTGTCTTGCACTCAATTGCTAGGAAATAAATCAGTTTTCAATTAAGGATAAAACACTTGCGTTGACTTGAGTTAGCCTGGTTCTCTGTATCGCTAATGTACTGAGTAGAAGTAAATTCAGACATGGCCAACTCGCTTGTCAACATCTGCATGATTGGCTCGTTTTTTTGTTTAAACCTGTTCCTACTGATTAGAATAACCGCTTTGTCTTTGTTTCTTTTTGAACCGTCACAAAACTGCTCTACTTATGGCCTTATATGTTAACACAAAACAATTTGATTGTTAACGTCTCCACCAAAGCCTATTGCCCATAAAAAAAGGTGACATTCAATCTTAAAGTAAACATTTGTAGGTACTGTTGAATAACAGACCAGAGAAAGTCGGAAAAAAAGTCCTGCCGGAAAATTGAAGTCGTGCGGGAAAGTTAAAGTCGTGCCGGTAACTTAAAGTCGTACCGGAAAGTTAAAGCAGCGCCGGAAAGTTATAGTAGTGCCGGAAAATTGAAGTCGTGTAGGAAAGTTGAAGTCGTGTAGGAAAGTTGAAGTCGTGTAGGAAAGTTGAAGTCGTGTAGGAAAGTTGAAGTCGTACCGAGAAAAAACTGAGCTTGTGAAAAATAAAGTTGAGGTGGAGAAAAAAATTAATGAGAAATACGAGATGGCACTAACTCGGCTCCGTAGGTATTCCTAAGAGCATGCGCAGTCTTAAAAGCAAAGTGGCTTTTTGTAAAACTTGAGAGTATCTACGACGATTCAACTATGCGTCGGTTCCCTGCAGCATTAACAATTTAAAAAAATCTGTTTTAACTGGAGAAAATATCACAGAGAGTAAGAAAAGAGCTATCTATAATTCATTTGCGAGCAGAGTACTTGTTTTGCTTCCGTTGAGGATTATGCTGAGATGACGGAATTCAAATGTTCCATTTTATGTGGTCTTACCTTACACGCATAGAAAAATTTTTCCCAGCAGATTAAATATTTTAGATATGTGGTTAAAGTATAAAAACGCTTGACGAATTTACAAGTGAGACCAAGAGATGATTTCTCGAGATGGTGAGACTCGATGGTGAAAACTGAAGCGGGAGCCTTTCCGTATGAGTCCAGGGTAATCGTTCTGTCTCGGTTGCCATGGAAGTTTTCGTCTCCCAGTCCATCTCGGAAATTTCAGCCCGATTAGAAAGCTGAGAACTTAGCCCAGATGCTATACAGAAGTTGGCAAGACACAATTGTAAGGTTCACCCCTCTAAGCGGGCTCGAGTGTTAATATGAGATCATTCGTTGCCCGTTTGCTAAGATCTTGATCGTATAACCATTGACCAAGGAAAGTTTTATACGTAAAATTGCGTAGAGTGCATTCACACCTAATTAAACATCGACAACCCCCATACACATCTTAGCACCAAATTCAGCTTCAAGGTGCGTTTCGATACAGCTTTTATCTTTTAGTTAATCAATATGCCTTTTCTTATCACCTAACATTGCTATACTAGGGTTTTACGTTGTGCAACAATCGATAAGAGGTATGGCATCGATCTTTGGAGGGACTTGAAGGAAGGGCGTGATTATGAGCAACAGTGCTGCCAATAATCTGTTGACATCTGTATGAAGCGCGCGTTATATTAGCAAAACATATATGAAAACATGAGTGAGTGACTTATAAATGGTTGCCTGACTAGTGAAAAAAATAAATTTATCAATTAATTGTTTGATTAATCAACAGGTGAATTAACTGGCTTATCAACAATTTTTCTTTACTAAGGTACAGAGAATTTAATTACATATAACGTATAGACCCACACGACACACTTATGAATATGAGATAAAAAACAAAAAAAACATATCTTCTTTCATTCCGTGCACTGTGTATTACATTGCCTGAGGTCCGTAGTTCAATAAAAATCTCATTAATAGTAATAATACGTTTTGTAGCGAACTTATGCGTTTGGTTAACAACTTACATGCAAATGCTCGATTTTCATACGTGAGTACTACTAAAAACCGTGATATATTCATGTTTTTAACAACCGATTCGCGCTCCCGATTCCTATCAATGACGGTTTGCTCCATTACAACTTCTTGAAACATTATTGCATATCCAGTTACGTTACAGCAGGGTATGGCTTTGAATCACCGACTGAGAAAATTATCACAAACATAAGCACAGGTAAGACAGTTTCACAAAAAAATTATTACTCTTCCTTTTATTCTCCATTTATAATCTTTTGTATTTTGACTTTAAGTTAACGATTTCCTGATCATTTTATTTTTGTTTTCTTTAAACTAAAGAAGCTTTTTTCTACAAGCGCAACTTAAAAGTTTTATTGCCACATACGGACACAAGAAACCAGACGTTACGGCACCGAGTCATCAGCTGCGCAAACAACTAACTCGCCATCTCGCTGAGAAAATCCTATTGTTACTGTCAAGTCCTTTTAAGGCAAAAGGAATAATTATGAACCCTGCTTTTGCTCTTCGGGTAAAAACAACACATGTATTTGCAAAACAAACACGCTTTCTTTCCAAATTGCAATTTAATTGTAAGGCAAATTAGTTAACTTCCTTTGGCTGGAAAATTTGTTTCTCTTTTCCAGAACTTTCGGGACAATGGGGTAAACATTCAGGTGACAAATGCAAGTAGCGCAACGTGACCACGCTGACGTAAGAACGTGAAGCCATGATTGTACATATAACTGTACGCCGAAAACTCAAGTTCAGGTTCGAGGCGACTTAGCTATTCCAACTTGCTGAGCACGTCCCTCCGTTGCACTAGCGAGTATATAACAGGAATTGCTCAAAAGCAAAGGTACATCGTCTTCGAAGACCTAAAAGGAGCGATGTATCAGCTACCTAGAGATAAATACAGTCTTGGAGTATGCAAGGAGCTTGAAAGATCCAATTTTCTCTCAAGCACATTCAAACGTACGATGACGGAGACCAGCGCAGCAGAAATGGCCCCTGATATAGAAAAACAGGCAAGGAACATGTTTGGTAACCGCGAATCACGTTTGAAGCGAAGTAGGCTTATGATCGCAGAAGAGTGCGTCAATAACGATGACGATGGTGCAGCTTACACGCCTGAAGATTTGGTGACGAATAAAAGATTAAGTGAGCCTCTACACTTTGCCCGTGCAAAAGGACAGCTCACTTCCGCGAGAAGTTCTTATGTTTGCTTCGGAACTACTTGCCGACCGATGAAAAACATTATGCCGATAAATTTGCATGTGAAAGACATCACAGCAGCTAAGGCATGTTTTCCCGACTTTTTCCCTCAACAACCTTCACGAACCAGTTACGATTCCAAACAATCGTATCCAACCCTGGAAGAGATTTTCTCAGGTCAGTTTCAAGTCTCAACAACCCTGAGTGATAGGACACAAACATTTCCAAGAAACAAATATATGTAAATTCGTTTGACTAGAGGTACTGACGAATTATAATTTGCATCTCTTAACTTAGACTATTTTATTTCATTATATCGAAGAGTCCAAGGATATCTTTGTGGTGCTCGAGAATTTCTTCATTCAATTCAACCTAATTTTCTATACTTTCTTGATTTCCCTTGCTTCTCCGACACTGTTTTTCTTTTTTCATTTCAGTCATAATAAATCGCTTTGTCATGCATCAGATCAGATCAGCAGAAAAAAAATAACAAGTTATTGTCTTTATATGTTAAAGATGCTTTAATAAAAAAAAGAGTCCGATAGTCTAACGAAAAGATATCACTATCCGAGCTTTAAATGCTTTTGCAACCCTTACGAGGCGTGCATTTGAGTCAGAAAGTTCTCCATGATACCTCCTATTCACTGGAGGCACCGTAAAGGAGTTTCTTCTTTCAATAACAATACATTTTTTTGATAGAAAAGGGATCACAAAAAGAAAAACATCGACTAGAGGTTTTTTAGTTTTACAGCTAATTCAAAGCGATTAGATTATAGGGGATAACATTGAGATTTGTGGTGCCTCAGAGTTACTCATTTTTTATGAGGTATTTCGATAATTAAAATTTCACATCGAGGGATTTTAGTACCGTCAAATTCTGCAGGGAACCTTAATTGCGTTATCAAGGCGTTAGCGCACGGTGGAACGAAATTGTATTGCTATTCGTCTTTCCACAAAAAAAAGATGACAATCGCAACTATAGTTCACAGAAGGAACATAGGATGAAATTTGACAAGCAAAGTCGATGATGAAGTCACACGCATCAATGCTTAGGTGATATGTATTTCAAACACCTACATTTCTGATAAAACAAGACCAAGATATTTTTTTATGACGTTTAAAGAATCTAACGGTAAAACGTAACAACTTAAGCTGATGTGACTTCCTACCTCCGCTGTAAACTGAAAAAAAAATTAAAAAATACACAGTGGGACAAGCCCAGTTGGTAGGAAAGCAAGAGCAGGAAGTGGGACATTAGATCTTTTATGCTCTCTTTTTGCGGTGTTCCTTTGCTTCGGTTTCCGATTGATCTGAAAAATTCGCACCATCCTCAAACCAATGAGATGAAAATCTAAACCAATCACAGCTTGGTAACTCATTTTTCCAGCATTTCATACTTCTTTGCTTGAATTTATTTTGATCTCTCATTGGTTCCTTGGGATATTTTCCTTTCTGATTGGCCAGTGCGATTACTTTGGTTTGGGTTTTGCAACAATCAGTCGCACTGCAACCTGGGAGCCAACTAACCACATAACATTCAGCTTTTTCTCTTGTTTTGCAAATAATTCAAATATTCCCAAAAGAGAACAAAAACGCTTACGATGTCTATGAACGAAACATTATATGTACCGGCAAACGTGGTAAAAAAATTAAAAATGCAAAGGTTTTTCCAATATGACAGTTATTTTTAAGGTTTAAAATACAGTCGCACAATAAATAAATCGATAGAGAATAGATTTAAAATGTGATGTATTTTAACCGAGACCTTCTATTCAGTTATTAACAGTTAAATTAACTATGATATGTTGACCCCCCTGTCTGATTTTCATCTGTCTGAAAGAACAAGAGACAGGCATCTTAAATTAAAACTAGGCAGCGTGAAGTGGCGTTCAGCGTCAGGAAATAATTAGAAAACGCGTTGAAAGAGAATTATGTATTGAAAATTTAAAAAAAGAGCGTTGAGTCGATTTTTGTGGCAGGAAAGAGTTATTTTGTTTCAGCTCATGGATTTCTGCTAAGATATTTTGTCATCATTTTTCTACTCAGCATCTATTGAAAGGATTCATTTTCGCATTATTCATCAGCGTTAGAACTTCCCGTTTTTTTCTCGACACAATATATCATGCCTACTGTAATGTCAGAAGTTAACATATGAAAATGAGTGCTACATTTTCCTTGACCGATTGGTTTTCAAGGAATGAGACCAAAAAACTGGGTGAATAGATTATCAGAGTACCTTCCAATTTTAGGACGACTAAGTTACGAGCCGGATCTTTCCAGCATTGATATCAAACAACACTAAATTTATCGGAGCAGATGCTGGAAAGAACCAGAAAGGAGTGTTTATCTCATATTTGCATAATCCATGATGTTTTTCATCGGTTACTTACCTTTTTTAGTGTAGTTTTGAAAACAGAATCTGAACGTTCGCTCTTCTTTAGTTGACTGGGCATGATAGAAAGAAGATTAATTTCTCAGGTAGGCCACGAAATACTTTGAAAAATTAGTAGATATATATATATATATATGTATACATGACATATAAACACGTCGCGCATTTGTAAGTTAGATTGTTGCGATACTGAAGGAAATTATAATTCTACCAATGACGTGTGACCACGTAAAATGACGTGAAATGACGTGAAATGACGCGAAACTCGTAAAAGTTCAAGAAACCAACGTATTTCCTAGAATTAGTTATGGGTCTATATATTCAGATGAAGGTCGTTGTTTACTTTGTGAAGAAGAAGCATATCTAGTCGAAAGAGACATGATCGTTTTCCCGAGGTTGTCGTCCGCTTTTGGTTCGTAGAAATTGGACCTTGATAAGTTTAGACATCGCTGTCGGGTGAATTGAAAAACGGGTAGGTTACACTGCTGCCATCTCTGAAATCAATGACTCACTGTCAAGTGTGTTCTGGTTGTAGACGCAAGGCAAAAAACACACAGAAAACAGCAAATGATTTTGAAAAGGAGACCAACTCAGATCTCAAGAATACCCAGCTTCTGCGTTCCACAGACATAAGTATTTGTCTCCAGATATCAGACGAAAAGAAAACCACCCTTAGCCACCCATCCAGATGGAGAGAACTTGATATGGCTTTGAAACTCTTACCAGAATTTCTTTCCCGACGCAGGAACCAAGAGACAAGTTTCCCATCTATAATCTTAACTAGCAATGAAGAAAAGGGTCCTATCGAGAAGCATCTTGAGAACTCTAAAGAAATACTCGAGTGGGTAAAACTTGAGTATGGAATTCTTTCAAAGAGCTGTTGAGTTCGTTACGACTATTAGTCCTAATGGGTTCTTCTAACGTTCAATGAAGGATGTCGGAGATTTCGTAAAAAGCCACAAATTGTTGACGATGACGTGCAGTTACAGCTTTTGAGTAGCTAGAGTGTAATATACCTCTTTATGACACAATAAATTGTAATTCAGGACCCGTCAACACCGACGCGCAAAAGATGCATAAACGAAAAGTTTTTGTAGGACGACTCGTTTATTGTTCTCCTATGATAAGCTTGGGCCTAGAAAGAAATCACATTGAATTCCTTTTTGGATGCTAAAAAGACCGTTTTTCCAGGCGCGTGTCAACTGGGCTATAACAATAACGAAAAAGTCTCTTCCCCGAAGAATGAAGTGGCTTTGCCTACTTCCATTCAGTTACAGACGTGTCCGAGACGCTGGTTAGTTATGAGAGAAGTTAATCATTAATGCACAATCTGATTTAATGCAAATTGGGTTAATTGCTGGATTTTCTCCACCAAGACTCTTGAAATATGGTTTTGTAAGTGCTCTATGGAACCAAAGGTGACAATAAGTTCGTGATTTCACTCACATTAGCGTTTCACAACACGCCGGTTAGCGTAACACTTTAAATGTCGCCCTGGAAAAATTAGAATTTAGAAGATTTACATCCTTTAATTTTGCCACATATTCTTAGTCCATATCTTCCTAAATTCTCATAAATCCAGCATGCTGATGATTCATAAGGAACTGATTATGGTTTCTTAGACAGTAATTAGTTTGACCCTACATGCAGGAGTCATTGTTGACCGTACACGCGCATCGTCCAGATGGGAGTAGTCGCAGGAACGAAGGGATATTCTTCAAAATAAATTTTTCAAATAGTCGATGAATGAAGCACAGCCTTAAAAGTTGTGTTAATCGTGGGGATATCCACATACCCCCAGCGAAACCCTAAAATATTTTTGTGTATTCAATTTTGTTTCTAAGTGAACGCACAACTAAACCTTGACGAAAATTCCGGTTTTGAAAATACATAGGAAAGAAAGAATTCCCTCAAAATTTTTGCTGATACGATATCCGCCAAACTCCTACCGCTTCTTTCACAAAGCGCTTAAATTGAATTGTTCGATGGCTTCCGCGTACGTGCTGCAATTGATTAATAACCTCAAAACCGCTGTAGATCAACAAGCTGATTATCAAGTATACTCGCCTACACAGCTAGGTGAAGCTGTCAGGAGAATCACATCGATCATTGATGTATATTGGGAAATTAAATTAATGAATTATTTTGATGCAATGTTTACCAGAGTTCGAGTTGGGGGAAAAACACTTTAAAACGGTAGTATACAATGTAAATTCTACTTCAAGTTTAAGTCCGAAACAACAGGAATTGACGGCTTTTATTATGAAACTTAAAATTTGCATAATATGTTTTTTTTTTCGAAAATTTTAAAAGAATAAAGGAGCACAACTCAAAAGCTATGTATATATCTTTTATGATGATACAGTTGCATTTGTAAAGACTTACCAACAGTTCGAGTTTATTGTTTATTCTTTTCACCCGTAAATATGATGAAGCTAATAGAAAAATATCGAAATATGTTGTACGTGCTCTGGTTGAAATTTCAATTTTCCTTGTCAGGCCACCGGGAATGAAAATTGATTGACTATACAAGCATATTAAATGAATGTAATCGGGTGAATTTATTACCCTTAAACAATAGATGAAATACAAAAAAATAGATTTCTTCTCTCAAAAAAATAATTCATTTTTCAGTCTGTCTTGCTTTTTTCTGTTATTTTTTTTAACTCTTCTTATACCATCATCAAGTTTTTACAGAAAATAACGAAATTGGAAAAAACGGTCCTCGTTACTTCACTGGAGAAGATAGCACATTAAAAAAAAATGAAACAACGTTTCCTTATCAGCTAAGTTGTCACGTAGACTTAAAATTTAAAGGTGTAGCACTTCTCCAAAATATATCATAATTCCTTGTTCAGCTTTTTTCCGCGTGATTTTTCATTGAGCTATCGACTGAGAGGTAGTTTCTCATCAGCCGTGATCTGTCTGCATTACTGATTTGTACAGATTTTTCTCAAACTTCTATCCAAAAAATTGAAGCCACGAAGCAACAATGTTTTCCTTGTTGTGGGAAAAATTTCCACCTCTCTT